CCCCCCCCCCCCCCCCCCCCCCCCCCCCCCATATGTGTTGGTGTCGTCGATGCTATGCAGCACCATCCGTCGCCGAAAAACTAGGGTTGTTATGGTGCGGCTGTCGAGTTTAGCATATGTAGGCGTGTGAATTCTGCTTGAAGTACGTCTACTGTGGACGCATTTCGTTGTTCGGCAGCCCGATGTGTCTCCGAGGGCGGAGTTAAGACTTGAGAGGAATAGCAGATAAGGTTAAGGTTTACGAGGGGTCCTTCTGGAGAGCTCATGAGAGTACAGTGCCATCGTGGGGGCGATGCTTATAGACAAAGTACAGAGACAGCCCAGCTGGCTCCCAGCTGCCAGTTGTGATGTTTGCCAAACCCAACAGCGCACATCGCTGATGTGGTTTTCACTCGAAAAGCCCAACATACCTCAACGAACCAAAACCAAAACTTTAGGTGGTGGTCACGATTCGTTGTTTTAGATGTCCGCACGACTCAGGGACGCCTTACAGTGGGAGATAGGTCAATGCACGCGCTACGGCCACGAGTTGGTCTCCGTATTGAGTTTGTGTCAGCATAGGCTTTCGTTGAGATGGAACAGATGTGTATCGAGGAAGGCGAGGTTTCTACTTTTCCACCCCCTTGATTTCGGTGCCTACCTCACATTCCTTGTGGGCTTCGTTGACTTCTCATCGCATGTATGGTGAGGGGTGCGGCTATATGGTGCAAATGATTTGTACCTGAAATCACTCGGCAGCCTCGACAATGACAACACCCACTTGCTGTCGTAGTCTACGTCATAGGCGGCACCCCCCCCCCCCCCCCCCCAGGTTCTATTCTCACGCGCATCAATCCGCCGCCACGCATCCAATCCAGTTAACTACATACTACAGCTTCACGACTCGACGATAAGAGCACCAACAACAAGAGCGGCAGCAACAACAAACAACATCAGCAACAACAAGAACTACGAACACAAATGAACCCCCCACGAACCAACCAAAACAACAAACCTTTATTTTTTTCCAGATCAAGGCGTCTTTCCTCACGTCGAGGAAGGCCAAGACGAAGCAGGGTAGGTCCGGGCTGGGGCGAAGCCGCCTCCGACGCTCTTGGAAGGGCAAGAGTTCCTCTGCCACCTCTTCCGTCACCCCCGGGCCTCCTGCTGCCGGTGAGTGCGCACGGACTAAGGTGGTGTGTGCACGCTGGATTGCTTGACAACACGTACGGTCGTGGAAAAATGACTAACAGGGTTGCATGTGAAGATCATTGCCGGCACCATGAGTTAGTGTGACCGTCATCTTGACATGTGTGGTTCGAGTGCTTTTGTTTGGGACCGCTCGTTTGCGGGAATTCCCCCCCCCCCCCCCCCAAGTCCGGATCGCACGGTGCCCATGCGGGAGTAGCGTGGAAAGTTAAAGCGAATGAGACTGGCTCTTTTCAGCCCGCCCTTTGCTCTCCTCGGTTGGTGTCGTTTTCCGGGGCACAGGAATTCACAAGTAATTTAGTCTTTGACTATTGCAGAAGACCAGGGCATCGAATAGTTCGCATGACCTCACACTCAGTAGACTATTCACAGTCAACCACGAGAGAAGCCGAGAACGGACCGACACGTGCAAGGGAAGCTCTCGACGCGATCGTTTCGACGAAACCGTGTTTTCTTTTTCGGCGTTGGGAGCCTCGTTTTTGCGAAGTAATCGAGCCGTGAAAAGTCGGCCCGAGTGTGGATGTGTTCGGGCAATCGCAGCTCTAAGGTACCCTTGTCTTCTTCGGCACTGACCGCTTGTCGGTTGTGGGTTGTGGAGCATTCGAGCCATGAAGGGCCGATCTAGGAGGTGTCAAATCACCCGCTGTTTTACCGTAGGGTAGCGGTGGAGCCGGGTGTGGCGGGGGAGGCCCTCCTACGGGGGGTGGGCGCATACAATCCACGACCTGCAGTAAGTAGACGGCCGGAGGGCTGAAACACGCACAGCATTCCGTGAGTGTCGTCATTGTCACACGGGGTGTCATTTTCTCACTTTTCGACTACGACGACTTATACGGATCTCTCTTCCTAGATGTACACCGAGCGGTCTATCACGCGCTTCCACTGCTTGAAGCATTCGGGGCGCTCTGAACAGCGCAGCGTTCAGGACACACGCCGCAGCGGTGTCGGCTTCTCAAGCTCGTTTATCAGCAGCTAGAACAGGGCGTCAACGCCAAGAAATTGCTCTGCTGGAAAATGTTTCTTACCTCCTCACCAAAAAGACTTTCTAAGTATTTTGCCGAGGGATTGTTTCTCGATTTTCAAGACGGGTGCGGATGTTGTGTGGAGATACACATTGGGTAGAAACCGGGACATGTGCTTCTGGGCTGTTGAGGCTGCAGCGGAGGCTACAGCAGGAAGACAAAGCAAGAGCATTCGGTTGGAACGTTAGTTGCTGTTGGACGCCAGAGCTTTACGGCATCAGGATGCTCCACACAAGGATTCCCTTCATCGTGTGTACAAGTAGTCCACGCAGAATCACGCATCGTTTACTTGCGTTGTGCTCGTCGCCGCGCTGAATTCCCAGCACCTATTCGCTGTTTGTTTGCGCTTCCCTCTGGAGCAGCGTCGGCGGTTGGCTCTGGCCGTGGCGGCAGGGCTCGGTCGGGGAGCGTCGGTGGGTATACAGCCACCGTGGATTCCGCCTCTGATGTCGGTGAGGGATCGTGGTGTTTGGGCCGGAGGGGATGGAAATGGAAAACCTTGGCGCTTGGAATCCTACTAACCTCGTGGTCGTCAGACTCTCGCATTTTCGGTACATCGTTAAACGCCCAGTAATAACCTCCACCCTGTAAGTACGTGCTGCTCGATGGTGTTCGCGCATCATGTGACGCTATTTTTTTTTTTATCTGTTTCCTCGCTGATTGGGATTCGATGACACCCTTCCTGCCTGGCGCCTTTTCTGCACCCCGTATGGCCGCCGCGGACGCCTCGATTCACTCTCTTTTCTAAGCACCGTTCCCGTGCGATTTTTTGTTAATGCTTCGATTCTGCAGGCGATGCCGGGGTGGACGATTTACTCGAGAGTGGCCGTGTCTCCCAACACGGGTCTACGGCGGCAGCAGCAGTACCGGGAGCTAAGGTACGCATGTTGACGCGCTGGACGTCTTGGTGGCCTACGCCGAGTCTCATGTTAACAGTTATCCTGCGAGCGTGCCACCGCTGGGGACGACCCTTGTTTCTTTTTTTTTCAGTGTCGGGCGTCCCACCTTTCCTAATGCGCAGGAATTCTTGAAATCAGTGTTGTGGTGTAGGTTATCACCGCCATAGCGTACTGTGTCACCGATCCTTTTTTTTTCGTTGTCATGTCCGCCGGCCATAACAAGAGCGTACTGTGTTTGAAGTTCCCTCCGCCATAGCGTACTGTAGCCTGCCATGGTTCTTTTAGAACGGTCCTTCTCAGCACAGCAGTGACAACCCCTGACTAGAATTATCCTCGGGTTCGCGGCGCCGACAGGAGGATGCTTCGACCCGGGATGCCGACGAGGCGGGCGTGATGGCCAAGCCCATGGCTGTCAAGCACCTTCGACTCGGGGAGGTAAGGCGAATATCACTTGACAAGAGCTAAGAGCGGAGGGAACTTCAGAAAGAGAGAGAGAAAGAGAGGGAGAGAGATGGAGGAAGAGAAAGAGAACGCACAAGATGCCGTGTCTGTTTTGCTGTCCTCTTGGTCATTGTGGAGGCACAGCACCGCTTCATGGAGCCAAAATTTGCGTAGAGGGGGGATCGATGTTTTGGGGGAGGTGGCGGCATGCCCGTGGTGTCGCTTTTGTCATCTGATATACTAGTGCTCATGTTTTGTCTCTGCCCGCCCCACACCCGCTTTCCCCACGGTTTGGCCTGTTCGCAATGTACATTGTTTTGCAGTGAGTTTACTTGTATCTGCGAAATGTACCGCGTTTGGTGGTGCCCCGGGATACCAAATACCGCCCCATGGCTATCTTCTCTATCGGTAGCACAAAACACGCAAGTATATATTTGACGGTCAACTATTTAGCTGGTATCTCTGATCTACCAGCCTTGTGGGCTGCACCCTGAGCCGGCAACCAAGCTCCGCACTTCGCTCCGACACAGTTGGCAGGGGTGCGAGGCAAACCACAGGTCTTTTGGTTACCACACGAGTACTACACAGTATTCCATCAAGGCCGCCCTGGTCGCTTGTTTTTTCTTCCCCGACAGGTGAACGTCTTCCTGACTTACATGGGGGACCGCTACCTAGAGCTAGAGGATGTGGACAACGTGCACCTCAAGCTTCACCCCCTCGTCTACACGAATAAGACGTGGACCCCTAGGAAGCTTCTCTTCAGGATGCGGAGGGACGTCATACTCGATGTGCTCTCTCAGGTCGGTTCTCGGCTTTTGACGTTTCCTTGACCCCCGGAGCCTTCTTCCTGACTGTGGGAAAAAAGGCGTTTCGCGAATCGCCTCTACAGTTTGGTGGATTTGATGGAATCTGCAAACCGATCGTGACGCTGAAATTATGGCTCTTCCCTCCCAATAGAGATCCCTCCAAAGCACGCATCGCCTCCAGAATTACGCACACTGTACCCTGGACGTCCTCTCCAGCACCCCATTGCTGTGGGGTGTATCCTTATCCCTGGCCCATGCACTCAGCCAGTTTCATTTTCTCCCTTCCTGAAAACGCGCTCTTCCAACCGCTGACGTTGTGAGCTTCCCCCCGTCCTCCGAAAACATGCCCCCTCGGCCATCGCGTACCCCCAGGTGAGCCGCAACTTTAACAACCTGGGGAACTTCCTCAACACCAGGGTCCTCAAGTCGGGGGCCGCCACAAACACCTCGTCCTCGACCCTGATGGGCACGTCGGCTGCCTGCCGCCGCCCCTCGAGCGGCGGCGGTGCCGGTGCTGGCATTAGTGGCCTGGGCAAGAGCAACAAGCAAGCCTCTCCCTCGGCCGCCGCGGGAGGGAAGACGAGCGGCACCGGCACCGTGTACTTGCCCGATCTCTTGTCGGAGACGTCCGGCGGCGGTGCCTCTCGGTCAATGTCTCTATCCCCGCGCCCGGGACGGTCGCTGTCGCTCAAGGGACGGAAGCTTCTCGGGAGAAACCCATCCGCGACGCCACGAAGGGCGACCGCACGTGCAGAGGCGGGGCGAGGTGGGAAAGCCGGCGGCCCTACCGACAGAAGCGGCGCGGCGGCGGGATCGGGCCGCTGGGTGGGGTGGAAAGGGTTTGTTTCTCCGCTTCCGCGCAGAGCGGGGGCTTCGCCCCTGGGAAGGATGGCCCTTGAGGCTGACGACGACGACGACGACGACGACGATGATGACAGCGGTCAGAACGACGGCAGCGACGGCGACAGCAATAGGGCTCGCGACGACGTGTCGCCGATCACGATCGGTCCGGCAGCCGCGGCCGCCGCGGCCGCCGCCGCAGAAGCCCGAGCTCTCCGCGAACCGGGTTCGGCGGGACGCGGAACAGCAACCATGGTGGCTTCTTTCGCGCCGGGTAGCGGAGGGGGTGGCCAGCTACTCGAAGGCGGGGGGGGCTCGATGGCGGCAGCGGCAGCGGCAGCGGCAGCGGCAGCGGCAGACGCGCGATCGCAGGCCGACGAACATGACGCGAAGCTGCTCTTGTTCGGTCGGCAATTGGGCGGGAGCCGCAGCGGGAGCGGCGGCGGCGGGGGTGGTGGAGGGGGTGGGGGCAACCCCTCCGGCGGAATGTCTTCGCGTCTGCCATCGAGGATCAAGAGGCTGGCGTTCTCGGGGAAGAAGGGGGCCGGCGATGGGGGCGGCGGGGGGGTAGGAGGGACCGGCAAGAGTTGATCGCAACAGTTAATGGCGTGGGTTGTGTGGACATGTGACCCCGTCAGACTTGGCAGTGTTTCGTCGGTCCCTATCGAGCTGTGAGTGTATTGTTCGTGTTGATGAAGCTCTGTCGTGTGGTTGCGGTGAACCACCCTGAGCTTTCCAAGGTCAGCCACAAGCGCAGCGCGTTTTGGGTAAACTGCTGGTTGTGCTTACAATGAGTGCAGTAACGTGAGTGAGGGCGCGCGTGGTGTGGTGTGGAATTTTGTCGGGTTGTAGGGTGGGTACCGTCGTGGACATTGTTGTACAATTGGTCGTTCTAAGTGTGTGTCTTCCCCGTGTGTGGGTTTGCTGTGTGTGGTGTGATTGCCTTGACGTTGTACATATTGATTTTTCTGTTCCCAGCGAGAGATGGCGTGTAGTGTGGATTTTCTAGCCATATTTATGAAACATGAATAGTCTAGTCCCGCCCGCCCGGCGGTGCATGGTACAGCCCATCGGCACGGTGACGCCACTCTCGTCTGAGCTGCTCTTGCGTCAATTAAGGGCGCGGAGTTACTGGCCGGTTGCCCACCACGCGAATGAAGCTGTTTGCGTACCTCTGGTACAATTGTACGAACTACGAAGTTGCCCTGACACAGTCAAGGGAGAAAAGGCAATTCCTACAACCACACCGTTTTGTATCACGAATAAGAAGTGCTGAATTTGGAGTAGGCCTCCTGTCACGGCAAGGACTGTTTCAGCCGTACTTTCTTCATGACGCACGCCTACAGAGGGCGAACGGCTCCTTCCTCTCTTCGGGGAGATGGTATACATCCCGACTAGCTCAGCAAAGAGTAGAGATGTTGTCGACTGGCGCAGGACCGGAGTCATCACGACAACAAAGCGACAGCCGGCTCTCGGGTGGTCTGCGCACACTGACGAGGAAGAAGGACTGATGACTAGGGTGTTTCATTGGAGCACCATCCACCCCTCACCGAACGAAGCAGCGTGGTGCTGATGGGTCTTAGCCGGGACAAGGGCGTAGTCCTGTCCCTGGCGCGAGTTTCTCGAGCCTCCCCCACAATATATACATATGGTGGCCCATGAGCAACACCAAAACTTGCTGTACCGATCCGACTTTCGGGCAAATGGCGTAAAAACGTCCCCACTACCCTAGTTTGCATGCATACCACACAGCGCCGATCTTGCCCGACACCGCGATCACCTTTCCTTTCCTTCCTCAACCTCGGAGGCTCCCGTCTGTGTTTCAATTGAAACAGGGTAGAGCCCGGTGGTTGCAACGGACCCCCCGGCCCGAACCGCACTTTGGCGGGTACAGGTCGGCAATTACTCGAAACGACAAACATCTGTAGGTCTCCGCAGCTCTCGTCTGCTACGGCGTCGACAATACTCGCTGCATGCCGCAGAGTCAACGATACCCTCGTGGGCTAAGTACGTACAGCACCGGGATATCGAACAGCACGGTGGGAATTTTCGAGGAAATTCTGGGGGGAAGTCATGCGACCTGTTCTCGCACTTGTTCCCACGTTTGGTCCCATGCGCTTTCGTGCCGAGCTATCCGGCCGTCTTCCCCCACTGTTGTTGTCGCGCAGCGTCAGGCGGGTGACAATAGTGCCCCAGCGTGAGAAACGGGCCGACATAGAAACAAGCAGCCACGGCATGCGCGCGAACAGGCCGAGACGTTTGGTAAGAGAAGGTGTGGCGGCACATGAATTTGATGGGATATTGTGCGTTGTTTGTAAGCCCACGGGGTGGGCAAATGCGGCCCATGGACGCGATACAAGTGATGTGGTGTGCGGATGAAAGTACGTGCCGTTCAGCTCTGTTCACAGAAAGACAAGAGAAAACACCAAAAATGATAAGTCCATAAATGTGTAAGTCCCCCTCAATCCTCGCCAAGACCCACAATTATTCCCCATCTGATAGATACAAATTACACTCCACAGAATATCAACCCCGCAGAAAACTTCCAGAGACTTTCGACGCAGCAGGTGGATGGACTGAACGGAAACCAACCTGTGAAATTGTCCACACCAGAAATGAAGAGATCTCGCCCGTTGACAGTTACCGCTCCAGTCTTCCAAACGGTTCGAATGGTCCTCCTCGTCGGCCTGTACGTGTGTGTGTGTGTGTGTGTGTGTGTGTGTGTGTGTGTTTTATTAGCATCGACCGCGCTAACCGGCTGACCAATGAAAGGACGTCAGTCTCAGTGCGGTTGAAAACACAAAACACCACTAAATGCATGTGTGTGTTTTTTTTAATTATTATTAGCATCGACCGCGCTAACCGGCTGACCAATGAAAAGACGTCATCTCAGTATCAGTGCGCATAAAAAGAAGAGCTTCTAAAGGCCATGGTGTGTGTGTTGTTAATTGTATCGCTACCGGCTGAACAATGAACAAAAGACATGTGTGTTTTTTTTTATTGTGCGTGTAGACACGGCGGTGGCGTCGAATTATCGTGTTTGTGTTCCATCCGACAACGTACAGCATTGACTCAGCAAAATATATCAGATTCAAGAGAAACCCGTCAAGAGCACTACTGTACGGACGTGATGAAGAGAGATATTCGAAGTGAACCTTGACCAACCAGAACGTCAACTCCGCACCAAAATTGATGTACGTAGCACTCAATACGCGGGAATCGGGAGGGGAACACAACAACCAGCTACAACGAAGCGAGAGCGAGAGGTCTCTCTCACGTGCAACACCATGATGTAAGAGAGAAAGATAGAAAGGGCTCGGTCATGTTCCGATTTGACCCGGGTGTCACTCTCTCCAACATGAACAGCAAGGCAAAGAGATGAATGCTCGACAAAGATGGCACACGAAGACACCGCATGTAGACCAGCACGGATTAATCGTGAAATTTCTTCTGACCCAATCGTCAGGTCGTTAGTTTACTTGGTCGTTTCGTGTGTTCGACACCCAGGTTTCGTTCGCTATTCAGTCGGTCTACCCTTAAGGTTTTCTTACATATTTTTCTTGGCGTAGCACAATGAATCTATCTCTACCCACGGATAAGAGTCCTGGATAACGAGCCATGAACTCCAGTTGGCGGAAGTACTTTTTTGTCTCCCAGGACGACTCGACAACAAAAGGGCGGCAAAAGATCGGCTTGAAGCAGATCATCACATTCAACAATGTATATAAACTCGGCCAAAACGTCTGAACTCTTGACCAAAAAGCGATCGAAACTGTTGGATGCTCTCGTCCGAAATTCGGGGTAATTCGAAATGCCCTTAAAAAACGAGCTCAGGAGTTGTGATAGGAAGTCTTTGCCAACGAGTTTGTAGGGCGGATTGAGCCGCAGAGATGAGCAGCAGGTTTGTTCGTTTGTCTGCACAGCAGTCGCTGGTACAATAAGCCAGCAATTCGGCACCATGCGTGGCTTAGACTCACCTCATTGGAGTAAGCATTGAGTCAACGGTAGAACTGTTTGTTGCTTTGTCAACGAACAACCAACCAAGAAGCGGTAGCAAAACTTCCTAAATAATATATTCCCGGTGCCACCAGGTGCATCAACAATTGAGGGAGTTCACTGCCGCAGCCTTATGCGCCCTACTCCTAATAACGTCGGAGGCTGCATCGGACATGAATAGTTCCGTGGGAACCGATCCCCTACTAAATACCCGCGCGAGACCGAAGTTACGTGCGATTGTTGAAATGGGATGACGACAGCAACAACAACCGAAGTACCTCAACCTTCACGAGCTCAACAGTTGCGTGTTGGCGACTACTACCTCTTGCTGACAACAAGGCTGGCCGGGCTGGATTGCACTTACCTATCTATCGCAGTCACTTCGAAGTAAGATGATCCCGGTTTGCAGGCGACGCGGAAGAAGAGAAGGGTAAAGACTGCCGCCACGCAAAACACGCACGTTTGTGTATCAGTACGCCTTCACGAAACAGAGAGTAGCCAATCACCGCCTCGGGCTTGGTCGTTTCGAAGGGAAGGATATTTCTTGTCGAAACATCGTTGAACGACACTCTGGATACACAACAAGGAGGGGGGGAGTTGGTACGGACGCTTGAAGGCTTTCCCTCGTCGCCAGTGTACCTGCGAGCTGCAAAGTAATCAACACGTGCATGGACCCGAAACGAAAAAAGCGGGCTTCGAGGCCCAAACAACAAAAGAGCCGAGTGTACGCACCCCATGCGCATCGCAGGTGTACATACACTCACATAGCATTCCGCGGTAGAGAAGCTTTCCGCGTAGAGTTGTGACCGGGTCTTGGAACTCGACGTTGTCGCCGAAGATCGACAAGTCTTGGGGTTTTTCGTATTGCAACGGTAGATCCTGCTCGAGGATGCGGGTCAATTTCTGCGGGGAGAGACGTGAAGCACCATGTGTGTTGCGCGCGATGCGGCCGATATGATCAAGTATAGCTGGCACCGCGTGGCACAAAACGTTGATCCGGAATCCAGGGTTTGAGTCATTTTGACCATTGACCACGTTTCTCTTTTGAGACCGGAACCGGCTCTACTCTAAATGAGATACTTCCAACAGTCGGGGCGCTCTCCCCGCTTGTTCCATATTCTACAGTTGCAATATCTTCGTTTTCTGTTTGGCGTTGTGTGTTCACAGACTATCTCCAACATAGCAATCGCTGCCTTCATGCAGGTATGGTCTGAATTATCAAGCATTCCCATGTCACACCCGTCAACTTAGCCATCATTTCCTGGAGGGCTTCCCTCTGTTCACACATTCTGCAATGATGAGAACTGCAGCGCCCGCCACTAACATGTCCCCTTGTGTTCTTCTTCCCCCGCCCTACTGTATTACACATATTGCTGTAGTAGATACACCTCTTCCTCCTTTCTGTCAAGCACAGGTCCCCACCTCTCGAAAGTTCTGTTTAGGCTTTTTCGCATAGTCCATCGTACCGTTTGGGAGACGGTCGTTTGTTCCTGGTTGTTCTTCTAACTTCCAATAGACCTCCAAAGCGTTGTACCTTTTTCTCGACCGCCATCTATACTTTCCGAGACATCTTCCTTGTCTGCCCCCGATCTGCTGCGATGCTTTCCCAACGAGCGGTGTGTTTCGTTCGGTGCTCAAAGAATAATACGACGAGCTCGGGACAGAGCGGGCTCACAGGCCCTTCTCAACGAAAGCAAACGCTACAGAACGCGCCCGAACTTAAGAACTCAGGACTTAAGAACTTGAGCACCCTTTTTTAGCTCGGTTAAGAACCCGGTACACTATTGAAACCTATAAAGCGACCGTTCGTAGCATGACCCTGGGAACACACAAACCCCGCCCTCGGCCGAAACTATAATAGAGGTTCGTAAGCGCGGGCGCTTTCTGAAGAAAACGGAGGGATTTCGGCTGCACTCTCCTGACTCAGGCGGACTACTGTAAGCATAAGCGGGAGCACACGCGCCGTCCGAAGAGAGAAGCGCGAGTCGGTGCGATGCAACAAAGTTACCCATAACAATACTGCTCGACCGCGGCTTGCCTGCATGGTGCCTTCAAAGTCCCCCTCATCGATAGTCCAACCGGCCTTGCAGCGAAGGCAACGGACGGAGCCTCTTGTCAAGGAGACCGATGTCATCGCTCCTACTTTGCCGACCGATAAGAGGTGGCCGCAGCCGTCCGCGCAAACTGTCACCGGACCTGGTGGCGCCAGGACAGAGGACGCATATGCTTTGTTTCTTGGCCGCTTTGGTTGTGTGCGCCGTTTGAACAACTGCTGTAGGCCGTTGTCGCAGCGTGGCAGAGAAAATCTCACGAACGTTTGTTTCGGCAAATTATGTCTACTGCTTTCTCTGGTCGAGATCGACTTTGCGGCAGCGCGAAACACGTTGAATGTACAAGGTTTCATACGACCCGCGCCACTCACAATCAAGGTTCCTCTATAGGGCTGCTGACATCTACTCTGTAGATTACCTCAACGCATACCACATCTGCTTGTTCTTCCGCATGAAAGTCTTGCTCTCTGCAGCATCGCGAAGGAAGCGCCCCACAAGATCTTACCAGGTGCACCTGGTGCTTCTCGTTGTGCTACCGACGATTGGTGGAGCGTCCCGACACGGTGCGAGCCACCTAATGCCTGCAGGGACAGGCAGGTGCGGCAGGAATCACGAGTGAGTAAGCGACGTCTGTCAGACAGCATACATACCCAGCAGACCACTCTCGTCGATTTCTGGGTACGATCTCGTCACTCGTGGGAGGCAGGTCACTTGCTCATCCTCGATGTCTGTGTACGAAGCTGTGCCTGTTATGTCCCGTCTCCAACAACACGGAACGGTTGCCGCTGCTGTTCAACAGTCAAGAACTCTGAGCTACTGTAGCATACATGCACACACCGCTATGTACCCGACTTCGTACATGTTGTCGCACCGGCATCGAATACTTTGCCCGAAAGGCCTCGACATCTGCATCTTCCAGCAGTAGCAGAGCGGCCGCGGTGCAAGAGACCCAACTTGTTCTCATGTTTCGTTCCTTGGCCTGCTCTCCTGCTCTCGTGTCGCTCTCTTGGCTTGCGCTCACCCCGCGCGACCCCTTGTTGACAGTCCCGCCAACACAGTACGCCAGAGAGAGGCGAAATGCGGCGGAATAAAAGAAGAAAGTGTAAGTTTGACCGCCTCTCGCAGTCTCGCAGCTACAGCTGTTCGATCCGAGTCCTGGTGTACATATTGTGGTGTGTGGTCACTTTTCAACCAGCATGGATGGATACAGAATGCATGTGTGCGAAGTCCAACATACGTGCCCTGCCTCTCTTTGCATCACACTCTCACAGCAGCAGTTAGTTGTTGAAGAGCTTCGACACACACACGCAGAGCCCGATGAGCATCCGAGCAGCATCTACGCTATCATACGTATGACGGTGTGCTGGCTGATATGCCCTGATGTGCGCAGATACATAGAATTGATGATGAGATGCTGCAGCAATAGATGGTGACCTGCGGGCACGACCGCAAGAACAGCATCGAGAGAGGGAACACAAAGGGCCACCATCCAAAGGACCGACAGATCTACATTGCTCGAATGCTCTCGTGCTACTGCAGCAACCCGCCTGTGAATCGACGTCGTGGTCGTCGATATCGTCTATTTACTACAATACGTCGTCTAGACAGCTGTTTATTTTAAGTACATACAAGGTCTTGGCGCCGCCATAAAAACATCGCCGACTTGCAGGTGATGACTGATGCATGTGCTTGTGTCCGTCAAAGGGACAGGCGGCTGCTGCTTACTCGCGTAGCCTCTGAGTTTTGAGTTTTTTTTTTTTGGGGTGGGGTTTGTTGCGGGTTGGGTTTTGGAGGGAGAGTTTTGGAGGGAGAGAAATAGTGCATGGTCAGTGCGTCCCACTCCACAAAGCCGTGCACCCATGATGGGGGAACAAATATAAAAGCACCGATACACACACCGGCAAAACGGTCAATGAACCTGAAATCACCCCTACATGAACCTGACCACACAATCACCCCTACAAGGTTGTTCCCGCGGCAATACACAATTCCCACTTAGGGTTAGTAGGTAGAAAAGGGATAATAATTGGCAAATCCGGGGTCAACGGACTCTCCCATGTATGAAGTACACATGAAACGTCGGCGGCGCCATCACATTGAGGTAGCTCCTGTGACATCGGTGATCCCGACTTTCCCAGGGCCGACACTTAAGTCAAGTGCCATGTGTATGAATGTAGCCCTTGGGAGTTGTTGAGAAAGGTCATGCGGGCACGGCTTACATACATTGTCGTTTACAAAATCAGTTTTTGGTCGGCGCCCACTGCATTCATTCATCCATCCATTCATCCGTTCATTCATCCATGCATGGTCGTTTACAACTCAGTGTTTTGGTCTGCGCCCACTGCATTCACTAATCCATGCTTTCGTTCCTGAAAAAGATCCAATGTTTTTCTTTGTGTTCATTTGGGCAGGATGTAGCACAGCAGGACATACCAGGGTTAAACATTTATGTTGTCTCTCTTCGGCAAGCTGAAGTCTCGTGGCGTGTGTTCTTGGTCTCGGAGATCCTTGCTCCCGTGCCTCCTTAGGTCATGAAGCTACAATGTTGCTCTTGGCTATGGACCATGCATATTGGGCGTGGCCCATGAGTAGCTCATAAATGACGCGGCTGTCTGCCCCCGTTGCGTTGGTGGTCGAGGTCACCAGCTTGAGTGACTTGCTGCCTGCAATGATCGTCAGAGATCGAAGACCACAGAAGAAGCAAAGAAGCGGGTAGCAAGCACAGCGTGGGATTTGGTGTGAGTCTCTGACACATTTCTGTGGCATATGGGTGGGCAGAAGGAACACAGAGGCACGATGTTCCAACACAGCGCTGTGTCTGAAGATTTGAAGATTCGAGCGCATTCAGAGGACCGCCGGGCCAGATCGGAGGTGTATTTGCTTCAAGTCACACAAAGGGCGGGCAGTTCCTGTGTGAACCTTTGTTAGGCCATCATCTCCTGGTTCGGTGATTTTCCTTTGTGTATCCATTACCTGCCATTCTTCCCAACCGATGATGAGGAGGCTGACTGCACGACAACGTGTCCAAGACCTTCTTCGTACTGTTGCAGAGCTACGCTCGCGGCCAACGCTCGTGGAAAATTCTTCGAGAGAGAGTGGGTGAAAGCGACATTCTCTTCTGGCTCGCGTATCTTTTCAAGATCTTCTCTGGACGAGTCTCGCACCCTCCCCGATCAACAGAAAGTCGACAACGCAGACAGTGGTGATGTACCTATATCTTTGCAGTCACACGCCAACGCCGGGGCGAGTGCTGGAAGTTCTGAGGGGAGAGAAGCAAATTAAGCTGCAATAAAGTCCGGAAACAGGCACCCTACTGCCGAGGACTTCATGTCGATCCCCACTGCGTTCTGCATGTCCAGACGCCCGCACCATCATCACATTTACACGCTTCTTGGTGTTCTTCGGAGAGTACAGATGAGGAGAGCCTGACATGCGCTAGTCTACATATAAATGCGTGTGCTAAATCAGAGGTGTTGAGAGGGAGCCGGGATAAACACCACCCTCTCTTCGGCTAGGTTCATCACCCAACGAAAGCGAAAAGAGAGTGCCACGGCAAGTACCTGAGTTGTAGAAAATACTTGCACATCAGCTAAACGTACTCCTTTGATACTCTGTATTTGTTCGTGGCGCATTGTCCTGGTGGACCATGCTGCTCCTGTACGCAGTGGAGGAACGAAATGGCAAGCTGAAGTTTTGGAAACGGGCTCTCTATCTCGATTTTGAGATGGCTCACCGTTCCTGCCGTCAGTCGCTAGTTGTGCCGTCGCTGGCACTACTTCAAGCTTTGGAACGTGAGACACCGCAGCGTGCACGTTAATTGCTCTACACTGTTTCATTTTCTCCGCCGACTTCCTTCCCAAAGCATCCCCCTACTGAAAGGCAATCTATTGGCGTCGGTAGTCCATCCTGACAAAAATAAATAAAAAGACGAGTGGAAATCCTGAGTTCAGCCAACCACATGGGTCGGTACTCCCCTGCTCTCTCAACCACCGGGCATGCTGCATCTACCGCCTTCACGTATTGCCCAATCAATACCCCGTTATGTGTCTTGATCGCGCAGCTGCTGAATGTATTGGCCTCTAGGATGTCTCTTTCAAACCGTAGCACCTCATCATGCGTAACGGGATGCCTGCAGATGAGGGGTGGCAACAACACCAATCGGCTTATCATCTTCGAGATTCTCATCCCAAACAATATCAACTTGCGGGAACACTTGTACCTGATCCAAGTTCGGTACGTGCTCTCTCTCCGACGGCTTACTCTACGACAGGGAACGTTCAGCAACCGCCCCCTGGTAGGGGACGCTCAGGCCCCATCTCTTAAGAAGAGAAAGGGCGCTTCATCGTTCCCGTCAGGTGGTTGTCGCAGGCGAACACTTGAACCACACCCAAGCAAAGGGTGGGCAGCCATCAAGCAAAGATCGAGCCAGCCGCCGGCCAATCAAAACGCCCACGAGACGGCAAAACATCAACTCCTCAATCCCATTCGGTGTCGCTCCATGCCCCGAGGTCCTCCACCAGGTCGGGTGCCGAGATGTCGCCAGCGGCCCCAGCAGCGCTTGGGGGCTTCGCTTTACCACCGCCGCCGGAGGACCTCTTGCGCTTGGGGGTGCTGCTTCCGTCATCGCTGTCGTCGTCTTCCGTGTCGTCGTCATGGCCTTGAACAGCGTTGCCTGAAGCACGGAGTGCAAAAACAAGTGAGAAAGGCAGGAATGATCGCGATGGGCGGTTCACCGCTTGCACGTGCACGCGAATAAGGTCACCAGCCTGGGGGGACAGACGGAGTGTACTCCAACTGCGGTTGTGCCGCACGGCTGTCCCCTGGGGCCTTGTCGTCGAACTTCGATATATATTATCTAAAGCATCCCAAGTTGCATCATGCAGGTTCAAAAATTCGGCACTTGAAAGCGCTTTATCAACACCGTCCAAACGTTGGCTCATGTTGTCGACGTGTTCACCTCCGGAAGAGTACCGTACTGTCCGTAGGGTGTGGGGTGTCACACGTTGAATCTTGCGGTATATACCGCATCCTACACAGCAATACCAACACTAGATTGGGGGAGCTTAAGTTGGTGCGACTCAGGTACGGCTGGCACTCGGGGAGTAGACCGCATGGCGCACGCTTCCGCACGGCCTGCAAAACGTTAATCGTTGTACGTTGCCATGCAACCAGATTGAAGCTAGTGTTCGCAGCAGCAAAAACCGAACGACGTCCAAGTGAAAGCGTGGCCCGCTCCAGTATCCCACCACGTTTCGCTGCTGACGATCATTCAGATGTCGTTCGGGCAGACAATGCCCTACTAACCCCGCCTCCCTTCTCATCCTGGTGTGCAAAAAATCCGACCATCTCCCTCCCCACTCTCATCGCCACACGCGACGGCCTTTGACCCCAAGAATATGGGGCCGCGCATGATACATACCCCTCCCCCTCCCCCCGGTGTTTGCCATCGGGGTTGGGTTTTCGTCGCTTGGCAACGACGTTGTAAAACAAGCCCCCCCTCGGTGTTTGCCATCGGGATTAAGTTTTCGTCGCTTGGCAACGACGTTGAAAAACAAGCCAATTCACTTCGTGCACTCGGCAACCAGGTTACCGTTTTTTTTTTTTATTTCTGTTTTTTTTTGGAGGTAACCATAATGGTGGTCGAGTAGATCATGTTGTGCGGGGTCGAGAAACCTCACTCCGTGCAAGGGGGATGGTCGCACCACGTTGTGTTAAAATGGTCAAGCTTCCTCGAGGCAGTTACACAGTGCTTACAACTGTCTCTGGAAGTGAAAGCACCAGAAAATAAATTAAGTCATACGTAGCTGTCATCCGTACGCAAGGAAGTAAGCACAAGATGCCGAACACCCTTAGCAGGATGCAGCGCCCCCTTCATGCGACTCGCCGAATACCTCACGGCGCTTCGCGCTTGGTGATGTGAGAGCCTGGTCCGGTGAGAACCCGGCGTGCTCCGTCCCGGCTTTGTAGGGATGCGAGGTCAATGGTCTAACGACTACGGCATGCACGACTATGAGTACACCCCCCCTCCCACCCCCCCCACGACAACTTACCTTTCTGCTTCTTGGTCTTCTTGTTCTCGGACGATTTCCCCTTGGTCGTAACGGCGGCGGTAGGTTTCGATGAGAGCGGTGTATTCTCATCGTCGACCACGCGTTCTACCTCGGACTCCGACGCCCCGAGGCGTTTGCGCATCGACGGGGCCCCCTGGTCAGTAACGGATTGGATACGAGCATACGTTGGTGTCAATAGCTGTTGATGCGTCTGCGAAAGGCATGCGTTCATGCAACCGTGCCGAACACGTGGTGAAACAGTTTCGCGCCGGCGTGTTGTTACAAACGGCGCGCAGGCAGCAACGTGTTCGTAGAATGATTGACACGTAAACCAGAAGGAGCATTTGATGTGTTGATGTGTTGACAAGTGCTCTGGGGCACACGTGACGGAAAAAGACAAATCCATGGACACAACATTGGCGCCTATTCCTTCTCTTGTCTACTCTGACTGCATGTGGTACAACAGGTGGTGTATCAGAAGACCAACCCCTCCTTCGAAACGTTGTCGCGCTTAGCAGCGGTTGTCTGATGCACATCGCCGGATGAACACATAAGACCCAACGACACACACACAAAGATCGTCCCCCGCCCCGGAAAGGAACGGTGCGGTTTATTCAAGGTGCCACTTTCTCGTTTGTTGCTCGCCGTGTGAATCGTTCTAACAACTTTCGGCGCATCGTCACTTTCGTTTTCGAGATGAAACATCCTTCGTTCTTACTCCCTGCACAGACGCCTCCGGCACTTCGTGGGCGGTCCTTGCATCATTCCATGCTCGTTTACAACCACACTAGGGCGGTCACACAGCCAGACTGGCGTTGAGGGCCAAGACAAGCGCTCCTCCTCGAGCATGTTCAAATACACACAATAAAATCACAGTTATACACACTGCACCGACTCAACATCCTTCTCTCCTTAGACTCCCTTCACCTGTCCCCTCTCACGGGGACCTACCTCTCCACATGCGGTTCCGACAAACTTTACTTGACACATGGCATTTTCCTAGCACTCCAAACGAAAACCCCTATTCAGGGGTGCGGGGGGTTGTCCCACCTCTGGCCGTAACACTTCTAGCCCCTCCACCTCAGACGGGCATATGCCAAGCTCCAGCCGCTTTCCCGCCGCCCAAGTGGCTCTCGTCTCTAGGGTTTCCACCAGGCCCCTCGTCATCATCCGCCACTTCGACACCTTTACAGAAACAAAGGAAACGAGGAAAGGAGAGAGAGAGGGGGGGTGGGGGGGGGGAGAGAGGTGGGAGAAAGAAAAGGGGGTGGGTGGGTGTACTAATGAAACGCATGCCGTAGTCGGTAGATCTCATCCCTACAACGCCGGGACGGAGCGATGGGGGTGGGAAGAGGAAGAGAGACGGGAGAGAGGAAGGAAGGGTCGCGCGGCAGAGTACAAACCATCACCGACAACCGTGTTCAATTCAGTAGCAGAAGCTTGTAGAAAACTTCGGAGTGTTGGGATACATCAGCTTCTCTGGCGCTACGCACAGGACGAGTCGACGGCCGGACACAAGAACAATCAATGCTATGCATGCGTACCTGCAGAGAGCTGTTCGATACAACTACTTTGTGCGTGAGTATGGGTGTATGCACACCTTCGTGAGCTTGGCGAACTTTTTGAGGTGTCCCAGCACGGGCAGCACCAGCTCCGGAAACGCCGCCGAATAGCGGTACAAATCCATCTCCTGCAACACATGGCAAGAGGAACGTTGAATGAAAGCAATCAAGGAGCGGGAGGAGGTCAGAAATGTAGCAAAGGAACGCGGCAAGAGCCATCTGGTTATCACATGGTGTGTTCCACGTTTTCACCGCCGGTCGTCTGCAACATTACAATACATGCACCTACGAAAAGCAGAGGGAACAATCTAGGGAATAAACACGACACCTGCGACAAACATAGGTAACAATCTAGAGAGCAAATATACCGGCAAACACCTACGATAAACAGAGGGAACGATCTAGGGAGTAAATATACCAACCGGCAATACTAAAACCTTCAACAATAGACAACAACCACAGGATCGATCCACCACCACCACCAACACCCAACAGAACCAGTCACAAAACCGCACAAGCGTTGGGTTGGAAGAACGCACCTGTCCCAGCAGCCTGAGGGCCTCCTCTACCACCGCTCCTTGCGCCCTCCCTTCGTCGACCTGCGTCTTGCCCAGCCGCAGGATGGCGGGAACATTCGGCGGAGCCCCTGTCGAAGCCGTTGCCTGTCCAAAAATAGCAGAAAAAAACGGGAAACGTCCAGAAAAAAACACGATGCAAGAGCGCGCACATTGTGTGTCAGAGGCTTGCTCAAGATGAGGACCACCGGGGGCTGAAACAGCAGGAAGGATACGAGCAAGGAGAGGTGGTCTACACTACGGGTCCCATTACGTGGAATGTATTCGCGCTTTTTGTCTCTGACAATCTCCCTCACTGCCTGACTACTCATTTCTCCATCTGTTAAATATTATATTTTCCATTCTCTGTCTCCGTCTCCCTTGCATGCTGTGGGTACCACGCAAGATGGATTGGGTCAAGATAACTTGGCGGACTATGAGCTAGTACGAGGGGAGTCAAGGTTAGGCAAATATGCGTCCAGACTACTCGAGCCATGACGAGTTGGTTTAACACCAAGCCGACCGACTGGTCAACTTAGCTTAATCCCAGCCATATTGAGTGGCGAAGCGCTGTTCAAAACAATACCAAGCGAAGTCAAGTCTAGGCCAGACAACGAAACCTTCAAGAAGCACCTTCTTGAAAAGAGCGGGACTCCTGATGACCTCCAGCAGGGGAGTCGCGCACGGGACGTACAGCTCAGCCGCAGCGGCAAGCCTCTGCCTCATGCGCACCAGCTGAAACACCAGCGGCGAGTGTCGCAGGGTAGCCGAGAGACGCACGATCCCTTCGATCACCTGCCGACAAGGGGTAAGCGTTGGGGCAAGGGGTTGCCGCGCGGTTGGTGGTGATGGTGTCGCTATCACCCATGCCCCTGCGAGGTATCTCTGTGACGGCCTAGTTAGCGACCGCACTTGACAACTCTACGGCTAAGAAATTGATACAACATAAAAAAAAAACTCAAAATCTGAGAACTTGAGCACGATATGTGACCCCGGATACGAACCCCTACACGAATACTTACAGAACGGCCAGTTGTGGCAGAACCCTAGGAATCAAGACGCCAAGCCTCGGCGAAAACTGTTGCATATCATGGAGAGGGCGATAGCTGTAGTTGGGCTAGACTCTTTGTTGACGACCAGGTTGGTTGGGTGATGTTGACTTTGTCGTGTTTGTCCGGATCGATCCGTCGATCGTCCTTCGACACGGTTCGCGAAGAAAGGGTCGGCATCAGACCGAAACAAGAACGAGGACAACCGATACGCCCTGCTTGGAAGAGGGGGAACGGTTTCATTTTGGTGATTTCAATAGAGAAGGCCACTGCTGCTGTAGTTGACGATGACGCCTGGTTTCCTTCTCGCCACAGGTAAGTGCTTCTTCCTTTCGCCACCCACGCGGAGTGAGTCAAGACACATCTACTCTCTCTCCTCCAGAGAACCGTCGGGGTCATGAAAAACAAACAAACAAACAAACAGAAACGACAACTTTGGCCCCCCACAAGAACTATTCATGTATGTACTATAGCACTCATCCGCTCTGTCCCCCGTAGCATCGACTACCTCCTTCCCGGGTGACAACCAAGAAGCGAAGAACGACAAATGGAACGAGCGTGTTCCTGGCAACACACCTGCGCCAGCGGGAAGATGAGCATTCTCAGCTCGTCCTCCCCGGGGGCGGCAGCCAGCACCCCTGTCCACACGCGGAGGCACGTCACCACCTGAGGACAGGGTTCGGCGCAAGAGGCACAGCCACGGGCGCAGGAAAGTGTTGCGTAGGTTCAGGCTTGAGCAGACGCCATCAACGGGGGGCATGTGGAAGGTTCGGGGGACACGGGCGAGGGTGCCGTGTAGGTGCAGGTGTGGGGGAAACGGTTACCGGCATTGGAGGTGAAATCATATGGTTCCGGGTGGTACAAAACAAAGGGTTCTGTAGGACTCAATCGATACTCGGGCGGACCCGCGCGGCCATAACTCAATTTCCAGATCCGGCCCGGTGAAGGGCAGACAGGGATTCAACAAGCGAGATGCCACTGGAAAGGCGAGGCCGCCGAAAGAAAGAAAAAAGACAAAAAACACAAGAATACTGCAGAGAAGGCGGAAAGAACAACAAGGCAGAAAAAGAGAGGCAATGTACCTAGACGAGTGCATAGAACAGCAAGACGGCCAAAAAAAGGAGAGCAAAATACATGAGAACACAGAAAGAAAGAAAAAAACGTGCACGTACCTGCCACCGTCGCACGGCCTGTACCGAGTCTTTCGTCCTGTGCTGCATGGCGCGTCGAAGCAGGAGGGACAGCTGCCGGATGTAGAGGAAGGCGTTCTGGTACGCGGACCCCACATCCATGCCGTACAGCTCCACCACACAGCTGGACACGGCAAGAGGAGGACAGACCACGAGAAAAAGGAAAAATCAGTCTGCCAGTCAGGGCGACGAACATGATACAAGAAGTGAGTGCGTCAGTGGTGGCACTCAACTTGCAAAGATTTACACATTCATTCTCGACGTATTCCAAGGCGTTGTCAACGCGTGAGTGGGGGTGGGTGGGTGGGGGGCGAGCGTCGCAGGGCGCACACGAAGAAGGTAAATCGCGACAACCACAACAACAACAACACAAACAGCGAGTAGCTAAAAAACAGCACCACCACCGGCCGACACCACCAACTCACCCCTCCATGACCCTCAGCGAGACCTTGCCCGACTGGGAGGCAGGGGGTGCCCTTGCCCTCTTTGCGAAGGCCAGGTAGAGCCTCTTCATACAGCCTTCTACGAAGGGGAACGGCAGCGCTGCAGCCATCTGCCGCACCCGGAGGTAGGCCAGCAACCGGACCTGCCGGAAAAGTGGGGGGGGGGAAGGGGAGGGTGCTAGTGCGTTGGATACATATTGCCTAAGTCACTCGCACGTTCATTCCGCGGCGCCCCCTTCCAGCAGGGCAGCATCGCTCGCTCCCACGATACTCGAAATAGAGGCAACCACCATCGCCGTCAAACACTAAAGGACGCATACTTCAGATATACCCTTTATAAGCTTGGCGCTGGCTGGCAGAAACAAAACCTGCATGGACGCGTGCGACGTTGTCCACAAGCATATCACCGATTGTTGGGTGTCTATCTAGCCTACAACAACGCCGACGGTATCCTTCGCGAGTATCTTTTCTTCTTGAATCTCAGGATAAGCCACGCCTTGGGAACTTGGCCGGCCGCTAAGAACTCGAGCTATCGAACAAAAAATCAAGAGAACTCCAACTGTCGTGATGGGCCTGATACCCGCCGGGGAGATATCGCGGTGTGCTGTTTGGGGGATCGCAGAGACACTGGTTGGGTAGCAACAACGCCGTGAATTCATCGCTAACCTGTGCCAGACTCAAACATGCGGAAGAGCGTCATTTGCTGTGTGTTCGTGAGAAATACAAAATACAAAAACTTGAACAGGCTCGAGAACAAAGAACTGTGATTCCGGAAAGAGCCAGCCCTAAACTATGACCTACAACGGAACAAAATGTTTGGCGAGCCTGGTGCCCGACATGAGGTTCTTGAGTGCTACACTGTAGCGCGCGTGCTCTGCAGTTGTGCTCGACACCACGATCCGACTTAGACACTTCCCGAGTAAGCCTTGGCTGGAAAGTTCCATGAAAAAAACAAACATCCTTGGAATGCGCTAGTGTTGCAACAACCCCCTTCGCATGTCACACGTGTGGTCACCACCGTTCCTTCCAGCTCACCCTCTCGGCTTCCTCGCCCTCTTGCTCCGTGCCCCCTCCGGAACTCTTCGCCTCTGCCCCCGCACCCCCCCACAGTCCAAGCAAGGTCTTTAGGAAACCCCTCGCGAGGCCCGGGAACGGGACCAGCAGAGGTACGTAGTGCTCTAGCCTCGACAGCAGAAAGCTTAGGAGGGCCCTGTCGTGCAGCTCGTCTAGCACGTGGAGCAGCGACCTGGTTCGGGGGGTGGAGATGCGCCAAGACGTCGCCGTTGCTGTTGTTGTTTGTTGTTGTTGTGGTGTATGATTACCATTGCCAATATTGTGTGGCTGTTATTCCTTCAAAGTCTCAACGTGGAATACCCCGAAATGATGCCACTGTTCTTTTCTGTTTCTGTGGGGCGCGAAACTACAAGCTGTCGCTGCTGTCCTCGCTGGAAACTTGTCACAGATGGCGCTGGCGTACCCTTGGCACCCGATAAACAGCCTCCATCGAACGCGTTCGGTTGTTGCTACCGTCTGTTGCCACCACCGTTCTATTGTCGTCAAGAAACCATCTTTCGACACTCCTGTTGGGATCTGTTTTTCTTCATGCCCGCAACATCGTGGCTATCGTAGAGGGAGGAGGTACGACCTACAACGGTCTGTGCTTCTTCCTTCCCGCCCCCTCCGTACCGTACAACCCGTCAACCCCCTT